TACCTAGTGTTTATTCTCAGGGAATATGAAAAAAATATATACTCGGATGTCTCGAATTTGCTGTAATTTTCTATGACGTAGAAGTCATGTGCCTGTGTTCCATACGTCATACAATAAAAAGATACAGTAAGTAGGTACCTAAGAGTGTTACTACCCTTATCACTTGAGGCCAACAATGCCTTTAATCGGGTGACAAACAATTAGCGATAACCTCATTAAAGTGTTGCTAAAGAGTTAACAAAACGATGACATTGGACGAACGCAACGAACTGAATTCAAGATAACCTCAAAATCTACGAAATCAGCGGTTAAGTTTGATTAACAGTTAAAATTAACAGATTTTAATCCGAAATATCTGAATCGATGTCAAAAATAGATCTAGGATTTTCGTTTACAGATTTAAGATGGTGACCGGTTGTTTATTTCGATCTTTAACTATATAGATATAAAGGTGATGCTTAGATCGTCAATAAAAACAGATCGCAGTTATGATAAAATTCACACAGAACTGCAAAGACCACATACCTAGGAGAACTAAATAATAGTAAAGTACTTAACCTATTTATGTGTATTTCCTAAAACAAAACATCCTTGTTGGAAACTGGGCCAATATTATGTATTCTTCGAACTTTAATAATAGCTCTACGTTTTGCATTACAGATTAGACATGGGTAGTCATTAAAATATTCTACTTAAACCTCTGTCTAAGATATTATCGATAGGTATTTTGAGATTTTAGTTTTAATGATGCTGATCTTAGTTTATCCTCAAAGCTCCTCAAATTCTTTAGAAATAAGTATTGCATTATACATAAAACTCCTTAATTCCAAAAACGCAGATAGTAGTCTCAAAATCCAAATACTGATTCGATAAAAATTCAACCAATGACATATGTGGACCTGACTATCAGGAAATAACTATTCGTTTAAAAAAAAATCATAACTTATCTGCAATTGCACCAAGTCATCTATATCCCAGTGTAAATTGAAACATCAAATGTCCTAATATTCATCTTAAGATAATTTTCCTCGGTTCAATTAAGAGGTCTCTTTATATTGGCCGTTAAGAAACAAGTGATAACGTATCTAAATCACTTGTTTTCTTGTAATTAGTTCATTTACGTTGCGTAATATGTGTTTAGTTGTGATTTTGTATTAATGGGACTATAAAATGATAGCGAAGTGTTGAATGAATGTTGTTTATGCTAATAAATTGGTCGTAAAGGACTTTGCACTGAATTGCTTTATGTACTCGTAAACATTGACGTAATAATGTGCTCATAAAGTTATTCGTAATTTACAACTTGCTATAATTACATTTTAATTAAAGCGAAACCAAGAATTATTGTGCTGAAGTGTATACAGTTTTACGATCTTGTGGAATGTTAAGATTTATTTACTAGTATTTTAATTAATTTGTTTGATCAGATCTCTTGTTGCTTATGTGGTCGTGAAGTTCAGGAGTGTCGACACCAGACCTTTGCTTCTTAACCTCTGTTTGGTCACGATGTTTTACTCCACACTTGGCCATACCTTTCCTGATTTAGACTAAACTCGTGAAAGATGACATCTGACGTATTTACATTTCTGTAGGTATCTACATACATTGTTTGAATTTTTATAAAAACTTTACCTAGCTCAAACAACAGATCCGTAGCATGACAGATAAAAGTATCTAAGATAATGTAACTGCGTCATAAAATTACATTTATATCACCTACATACGCATTACGTACTTCTGCGGAAAATCTTCGTCATTAATGGAAAATGCTCAATCAAAAGAAATAATGGTCATTAAAAGATGGCTTCAAATCGTTCCACTTTATGATTGGAATGTTGCAATTAAGACTGAGACGAATGATGAATTTAAACACGTGTTCAAAGCATATAAAAATGATATAAAGCTTAAAAATATAAATCTTAATTTCTATATTATGATCACACATCTTTATAAATCATGCCTATACCAACTATAAGAAATATTGGACAATATTCATCATCAACAGCCTATAAATGCCCACTGCTGAGCAAAGCCTCTTCTCACACGGAGAAGGTTAGAGCATTAATCACCACGCTTGCTCAATGCGGGTTGGCGATTTCAAACTTATAATTAGAAATTATAAGTCCAGGTTTCCTCACGATGTTTTTCCTTCACCGTTTGTCAGTGGTGTCTAAATAATCTTAGAAAGTACATATAACTCGGAAAAAGTCACATTGGTACTTGCCGTTGGTAGGTTTCGAACCCGCACCCTCATGCATGAGAAGTGGGCGTCTTAAACCTCCGGGCCACCACGACCTCCTTTGGACAATATTATAGCATGAATAGTATGTCAATGCAGGCAGGTGCACAAATTTTAGAAAGCGGCTTTATGCCACCATTTATAATCGAACATTATGTGTCGTGAAACGTCTCTATAGCCATGGAGTCCATAAAAACGGCCATCGTAAATCAGCACTGTAGACATTGGTGCACAGGAATAAAGCCGCACCATTAGTTTAGATATACAGATAATAAATCAAAATGTACTTTACACCGTTAAACTTAAACCCGTTGCTTGAAACAAGAGGAAATAACCGTGGAATGCCCTCACTCGGTCATTACGGGTCTACTTCATGGAAAACTGGTTGTACTTACCATTATCATTCAAGTTGCAAATGATTTTAATAACGCACCTCAAGTTGTCATTTTTGTCATTAAACGTGATTAAACGATTTTAAAGCGATTTGATGTGATGTAGGAGATATGATCAAAAATGTTAGTGGAGAGTGGGTTTAAGATGGTGTATACTTACCGAGTCAACACGGCAGGACAAGCACTTGTTTGTGTACCTAAGTTAGAACTTAGGATTCAGTACTTAATGCTCCAATGGGAAATACGGACTTAGCCAGAAGATATACTCTATTTTCCACACAAAAAACGTGAAAGGTCTTGTAAAAAATAGTCCGTTTGGATGAAATTTCTAATAAAAATTCTTATTTCAAAAGCATGCAGTATGGTCTGTGAACATGTTCGGTAGCTATTTGTCCTCATAGTTGGCGCCTAACGACATGCAATAATGAGCTGCGCGGGAACACGACTTGTTTGTGTTTCTGGTTAGAGCGGCGCGCGCGCAACCACCGCACTACATCACGCTGCGTTTATGCTAAACGTAACTTAGTGCTTTCTGTACTCTAATTTATGTTTGTTTTGAGAATTTTAAATGACATTATAATGGATGTAGCCTTCACCATATTATATTTTTTTAATTTCTCCTCTTTGGGTTTCATCTTGGCTATCTAAGCCATGACATCTATGTCATGTGATCTTATTTATTGAATTATCCTATTTGTGGTGTCCATTTTTTCGCAAGCAATTAGAACATTAGGCGTCACACGTTTTATCAGAACATGTACTTCAAATTGAGGTGTGTATAGTGGAACATTTTTCACGCGTATTGCCAGGCTGAGTAAGTTTATTTACTGTGTGTGATGTGAGCAATTACTATGCGCTTTTCACACCTGCCTGCTAACAGCTCGCCGTTTGGATTACGACTCCAGAAATGTCGCAGCGATGCCTTTCCCGGATTTCGATTTAGATAATGTTTAGTTTACCACGTCGGCTCCGAGTTTGGTGCCAAAGACATTGTGTTGGGTTAGCCGTCACGAACACGAGTTTCACGACTCCGTTTGTGTAATATTGACGTTTGATTTTATCGCGACCTGTCCAGTCCTGAGTCCATTAGCTCTTGTCATCTCACGTACACAATCTCTTACCTAGAACTGACCTGTGTTTTGGAATGCGCTTTCCAGTTTTAACTGCACGAATCATGTGCTATAATGATAGTGTTGCAGCAATGACACTTCCATTCTGGTCTCTTTGGCCGGCCGAGCGGGTTCGAGGCGTTGCATAAACATTTACACAATGAAATAGTGTCACTCGAAAACTAAAAGTCGTATATAAATTGTACCCACATCAGTGATGATGCATTACTTTTGATTTAAAGAATTATAAGTAAGAGTTTATTTTTTAAATCTTAGATAGTCACATGCCTCGGCTCTTAAAAAATTAACGCTAAGTTCATGACAAATATTGGACTTGATTGTAATTCTATTATGTAATTGAATTACTAAAGCAAACAGCTCACGTAGCTAACTCTGTTTATCCGTAGCTACTGTGCTGTAGTCTTTATTTGTATAGGCGTAAGGGTTATGATTTAACGCAGGTAACAATTGTTATTGTAATGTTACACTCGCTCCTGCTCCGAGAAGGTGGACATCTTAAGTTGTCAGTTTGTTTTCTTTTTGCATCGGGGACTCTTCGCCGGGCGACGACCTTACACTCTTGTCTCCGTATTAGGGCTGTCGAAGATTTTTAGAGCAGTTTTCTGGAAGTAAATATATTCATCTTATTGTTTTTTAAGTAATCTAGAATTCAATTTTTACGAAATATTTCTCAATGCCTCTTAAGGAGATTAAGATTTTTCATTTTTATTTTTTTGTCCTAACATAATTAATTTCTTACTCAGAAGACGAATGTGTTTTAAGCTTTGTGCGTTAATCTCATTATGATCTTATGTTTTTTTAAACTAGATCATAAAGCATAGGGCAACCCTATCTCAATGTTACGGTAAACGTGTAAGTTAGTAGCGAGTGACGAGTGGACGTGACGTGATTCTGTTTGTTTACGGAGCGCGCCGTCTTCCAAGAAAATGTCTTAAGCGCGAGAGTTGCCCAGAGTTACCGAGAGATCGCGAGAGATGCCGACTGTTCCCGAGAGAAACCGAGAGAAGTACAAACGTTAACACCATGTCGGAAACGGCTTCATTATCTTTACATTGTAGTCAATAATGCTTTGTAAAACGGGATTTGCATTTCAACTGCGACTCGAGTCGCTTTGTTTTTGTTTCTTGTTCAGTCAAGAGCAGCTTGCTTTTGCTCAATAATTAACTTTCGTAACTGTTTTTTTTTTCGAAGTGTCTATGATTTTACAGTTAGGTATTTCGAGTAACGTTTTGAGTTAAAATGGTGTTAATTATGCGGAAAATTACGGTCGATTTCCACGCTGGAGTTACACATGTGCTTGTTCCTAGGATGTTACACGTATTATCTGATTCGTTCAAGTGATTGTAAGACTCGAAGTTAAAATATTGTCTGCGTAAACAAGAAGAAGAGCGATACTTAGTAAAGTTGTTTAAGAAACAGTCTAAAAGGCAAATACAGCCTTGTTTTCTAAGGTTTAGAAGCGATCTGAATTCTTAGAGACATCATTACTAGCTAAAACTTTAGACTCTTCACTGTCAATCCCATTTCATGGGACCAGTAATAAATAACTTATATATATTTGACTGTGCTTACCAATTGCAGTTATCTTCAATAGAAGTCATCTAACGTCATACTTTATTTTTGCAGGTGATGTGGCTAGTGGCGGCGTTGCTGGCCGCGTGCGCAGCGGTCGGTGGCGCGATGTCGTGCAATGAGGCACGCACGCGCTGTGCCTACCGCACCGGCTGCGGCGCCGCGCTTGGCAACTACATGATGATGTGCGAAGATGTGCTCTCTGAGCCCACTGCCTCGTCAACGTGTCCCAGGGAGTGTGGTAACGCTTTAATTGCGTTGACGTCCACTGAAGAAGGGAAGGAGTTGATGAATGTAAGTTCTGATACATTTTGTTGACATTACTTTATAAAAGCAATTCCATCTATTATCTCCAATCTCTCAGATTTATCTCTTTCTCCGTTATTGTCATCATTCGAAACTCTACTGCTGAAAAATACTATATGCTTTAATTCTAACGCTTCGTAGACGACTTTAGGACTCGGAGATCGGGGTATAATAGTTTCCGAACTTCAGGGGATCTAGTCATTGCAGTTGGTCGTAGTTTTAGAACATTATATTCCCCTGTAGCGTGTCTTAAATGGCGTCTTAATTATAGAAAAAATAACATAGAATGCTAGTAGGTAATAATCCGCAGATTAGGAGGAGCGAAATTAGTCACCGTCTAAATTGATGAGCACTCATTTATTTCTAATCCGAAACGCGAATTCTTTACAATTTGAGCTCATAATAAGATATTTTATACACATTTTTCTACAATGTTAGCGCAGGCTATTAAATTAATGCCTCGTTGAAATAATTGTGTTATAAATTTAATTTAATATGTAACGTGGAAAATATAACCGCGAGATTGTAACAATTCTTTGGCGGATGTCCAATATTAGTGTTGAAAGATTTTACGATAATGTAGTGACAAGTCAGCAGTTGAACGGATGTAAACAGACATTATTATAAGCTCGATCATAAAGAGTATGGAGTTATGAGCCCCTTCCACCCACAACAGATAGTCTCAGTAAGCTGTCTGACAGTAGACTCTGCTAATGGAGATAGAATTGCAATGTGAGCTAAACAATTAGATCTAGTTATGAGATTATTAGATTTACAAAACATTGCCGCACACTAGGATTTTCTCCTGTTTCGTGCGTGCGTTTACAAATACAAGTTCACATACACATAACACCCAGACTCGGAACAAAAATTTGTGGATCCCACAAATAGATGTTTCATGCGGAAATCGAACCCGCGACACATTGCGCGGCAGCCAGTGGCTCAGCTCCCGCGCTAACAGTGCAGTTAAAATTATAAATTATCCTTGGTCCCGGAAAAAATAATTCCTGAAGGCAATCTAAACAGTCCCATCTTACGTTATGAAAACTAAAAATGCATTTGCATTAAGGCCTCAAAAGATCGTAATATCAATCATGAGGAAATCTAAACGAGTACTGCGCATGATTCTTATCTTTTAACATAACATGTTCAGCTTATATTCTTGAATGTACCGGACACGATAGCTTCATTCACTGGCTCTAGTAATAGGCCATTGTTTCAAATATCTTCATTCACGCCTTGCAATGAAATTCTATTAGAAAGTGAAGAACGTATTACAACTTTATGTTATAAATATAATGTTATACTGCAATAACATGCAATAACTGTGGAACAGTTACTTTTCGTTTAAAGCTGGACGTTGCTGTAAAATGATCAGTTATTAGCACTTTATTTTCAACATCTAACGGTCTTCTAAGTTGAATGCGAATAAACATTTATCATACATTTGTACTGCAGTCATCACCTATTTATAAACTGCAGTATGAATCTATTCAGATTGATTGTTCAGAGTTGAGCCTTGTCACAATTACTCTCGTAACAGCTGTTTACAGCTTACGCCTCACTCAATTGGGGATACGACCAGTAAGTTATGGACTGTTGTTAGTTATGTGACTGGGAGTTGTAAAGGTCTTGCTTACTTGGTTCTGTATAGGTGCATGTAGCAGACGCCCCGCAATAAAATCTAATTTAGACGTTGTGGGCAGATTTGTCCGACACGAAGGAACGTCGAGGGTCGCGGTTGACGACCTCGTTCGTGAACTAACTTGGTACCTAGCACGTCGCACTGGACCGAGTTTTAATTCCACGCGCTAGCCTACGACTGTTGTCAAACAAATATTCAGGCGATTGAAATTTCATGGTCTTGGACATGAAAGGAAAAGCGTGTAGCTAAATATGTTCGTATGGCGATATTGTTTTATGGTTACATACCTAATTGAAGTGTTATTTTCGCAGTGAACAGCCGTTTTAAATGCACAATAAAATAGTATCGAAGGAACATTTATATTTTAGGAAATGAGATTTATTGAAATGAAGGTTCAGAAAATAACTAAAGCTTAAGTTCAAATTAGGTAAGTAGACAGTGTTAGTAGACAGATTGACAAAAATATTTAAAATGTCATTCTAAGAGTGAGATTCTAAAAACCGATTCGGAGTTGATCGCCATTTTGAATGCTTTGGCGCCATTTTTGCGTCCAGCTCCAGCGTTCATTTGCGGGCTATAAAGATTTCATGAATCTAAATTGGGGAGAAATGTGCAAAGAATGTTGGCAATCTGATCACGTGCAGGGGCCACGTGATATACAAGTTAGTGTACTTTTGGCTTTATTATTGTTTCCACAAGCTTTATTGAATGTTTGTATACTGGACGTGTGAAATGTTTCGTGGTTGCCGGTGGCAGAAAATTGGCGGTAAAGGTTAGGTTATGTTTTGTTACCTTATTGGTTAGGTTATGTTCTTAAAAGCATTTTGTTATGGATTCATTGCCAAGATTTGTTTTCAAGAATTAAAGTTTGCTCTTGAATTGTTTTGTTTGATAGCCTCGTTGCAACTTTCCTGAAATTTTTGATTTTGTCCGTTTTTTGTAGAATCCTATTATCCTACTAATATTATAAACGGGAAAGTTTGTGGGGATATATGCGTGTGTTTGTTACTCTTTCACGTCAAAACTTCTGAAGGGATCGAGATGAAATTTGGAACAAGGGTAGATTATGGTCTAGTATAACACATAGGCTACTTTGTACCTCACGTTAACGAGGGCGAAGCCGCTGGCAGAAGCTAGTTGTTCATAAATTATTAAAAATATTAGGTACACATATTTAGTTTTTGTCCACTTACTTCTATCAACGTGTATGCTTTGTATGGGTATATTTAGTGCATAATTTTGATAATTCAATTAACATATTCCTGTCACATATGGCCTCAAGTGGTGCTAATGCACTTGTAACCAGCAGTCGGCTTGCAGATAGGATATTTATGTAAGGAGAATGCACTGTATCAAAATAATGTCTGGAAATGTGTACTAAATATAGAACTTGAAATCTCCAATTGAATTTTAGCAACGCCTGTTATTCGGTCCTTCTTTTATTCCACTTGCTAAAGAGTAACTCTTTATTTAAAGTAAAATGAAATATGATTTGTACTCCACAGGCACCGCTAGATGTCCCTTCGAAACGAACAAATTATGTTCAAATAGTTTATTTCCAAGAAATAAAAATGGTATATAGAATTTACATTATTTTATAAATATATACTCCCCTCTTACCGCAAAACAGGTGCAATTTCATATTCTTAGATTAGGTACTGTTTATTCCACTGACATACTTTTAGTATCTGCACGGCACTTAAACCCATACAATTAACTAGATAATTTTATTAGGTGTCTTAATCTTATCTTATTTAGCTAGCAATAAAACGATTTTCAAGTAATCGAGCCGTCAGTAGTAAATTATCTGTAGTTTTAGTTACAAGTGGTTTGTATAGTTTGTTTTCACTATACTTAGGTATACAAATAAATGGAAATAATTAATCATTCGTATGTTCATTGTTAGTTTGTGTCGTGTAATAATTGCAATTAGTTGCAATATGAGTTATTTGCTTTGCAAGTGAGTAGTTAGTTATTTAGTTCATACATTATGACTATGTTAATGAAACAGTCAATTTACCGTATTTTGAAATACTCCCATGTAATTGTATAAGAATATGGAATTATCCACTATTAGAAATTAATTGTAATTTATACTATATTGTTTTTATAGTCAATTGGAGATACAGTGTGTTCCAAACACTACAACGAAGTAATGAAGAAGTAAAATAGTGACATTATTCGCATTTGAATCAATAAAAAGCCTTCGTATCTAACAGCGTGGACCCCCCTGTAGCGCAGGTGTTTCCTTGCACTAAATTACACAAAACATTACACCATACTCGAATATATTCACTTTTTTCCAAACGAACACTTTCGTACTATCGTATTAAATAAGCATTACGTTTTATTGCTACATATATACGCAAAGCAGGTGTCGCTGTGTGGTTTTGTCGTTCATATTTACATCATGGTACCTACATTGTGCATAGATAAGCAACAGTTTCAACAAACCGGTCGAACCTTTAATTATATCGTAGTAGGGAGTGTGATTACGAGTACTACGTTGGGCAATATACATCGAAAGGCAGAGCAAAGGAGCGGCCGCGTTCAGCCTTGAGATTTGACGTCTTGATCGGGACCTACCGCAGCGTCGACTCTTGCGCAGGTGTTGCTGCGCTCTCACAAAAACTAAGCGTAAGACGGGCGGCCGTGTCTTCATTAATCCGCGCTAGATATCCGGTAAATTGACCTTAAATTTGAGAGCGTGGCCGATGGTTGCATCTTAACGAAGCAACTGCCAATTTTCGAGGTCGTTTGTCTTCGAGTAAGACGACGATTTTATACGGTATTAGTTATTCATGACTGCATTCTTATGTGTTTCGTGATCCTTTGGTTTTCATGTAAATGTTGGCTGTTTAAATGTATCGCCATTTATTGTAAGGCCTTGGAAATAATTCAATAAGTTATTCAGCAAGTTAGTAAGCTGGAATAATGGACGCCTATTTAATATTAATGTAGAATGTAAGCCGTGTCGTGTTATAAATTTCACAAATCACAGTGTGTTGTGATAGCGGATAGATTCCGGAATGTTTGGTGTCGTAAAATGTATTTTACGTTCGTACAACGTTATTATTATGCGCCATGGACCGCTACGATTTACGAGTTTCCCTAAAACTTTATTACATTGAATTATTAATAGATTTTCTTTCGACGTAACGTGTTTTTTCTTGGAGGCTGTTTGTGCATGGTTGAAGTTAGAAGTTATGCATTTATGTCCAATATACCTGTGTAAATATTCAATAGAATTGGTGGCTTTCTTTGTGAATGATTGTACCACCGATTATTTATTCATTTTCTGACTTAAGTTGTACATTTTTGGTTGGAAATATTACTTTTAATAAAATTAAGTATGTCCCCTCGACCAATTTCACAGTAATCAACTTGAACTAATTAGAATTTCTTTCTTTGTTGCAGTGTGAATGTGAGGACGAGTATTGCTTGGAGGCGAAGCAGCGCATCGACATCTGTCGACCACAGGTGATGAAGGGAGCTGCCAACGCCACCTCCTCCTGCAGCCTGTCGCAGCTCATCTGCCTGGCTGATGCTCAGTGTGCCACTGCCTTGCAATACTACCACAGGCTATGCCGCTCCATGTTCAGAGGCAGAAAGTGCTCAAACAAATGCCTAAACTCCATAGAAATCCTAAGAAAGCAGGAGAAAGCCGCAGCGCTAACAGCGTGCCAATGTGACGGCAATGACTACGACTGCCCGAGAATGCAGAACAACCTAGCGAGGCTATGCTACCACAAGATGAAGAACCACACAAAGAACCACAACAGTCACGGGGAGAAACAGAAAAAACTCCCCGTCGAAGAAGTGCCAGTGGTCAGTGCAGCGAATTTAGTCCGAATATCCGGGCTCATAGCGTTGATATCCGTATGCAGTAACAGCTTCATCACGTGATACCATCTCAACGGAAATAACCAATAGTTTAAAGTGTACAGTAACGGACATAGTCATAAGGACACTGCCATAGAAGAGACTATTCGAGTGAAGAATTGTGTAGTGTGTTTAGATAGACGTAATATTGGCTAAGTAGGCGTTAAATTGAAGTACAATAACCATAGGTAGTGTAAATAATGTAAAAACAGTATTAGTTAAGGTAAGACTATCGTGAGGGAATCAAGGGTAATTATGTAGATTGTTGTTTATATTTTAACTATTGTCTTAATATGAGAGTGGATGTGTCGCCGCCCACGGGTTGCGCAGGCGTCGCTATAAATACGGCGGCGCCGGTGGTCCGGTGACAAATGCTGGACTGTTCCCGATGTAGCGCCGCACGTCGATTGATCTAACGACTGTTCCGGTAACACCATCATCCTCACATATTTACGTCAAATATATTTTTCTATCCCTCTCTTTGGCGTTTGGTGTAAGAGGGATGGTGTGGGTGCAGTCGTGCAAGAGATGTGTAGGAATTAGGGAAGTGGCTGGTCTAATGACATAGTCGTGGCTAAATCCGGTGCACGGCACTAATCGTTCCAAGTGATGTAGGGCGTCGGTTAACGTTTTACAAATATGCTTCATGGGATGCCAGAATTTTTTCTGAACATCTTTTGAATCTTTTCTTTGACATCCGTTTGAAATGTTTTATTTTTTAATATGTTTGTTGCCTTCGAGATGAATGTGTGTTCTTTATATTTAGATTTGTCATCAATTAGCGGTGTAATGTCAGGAATGATTGAGTGTGTTGTACTCGTTGTAGCTGCTCGGTTCACAGAGAACTAGCTCAAGTGATGTATATATTCGGAGTCGTTCCCGTTGCCAGCGATTCGACTGAGAAAATTTATGAAAATTGTTGTCTGAAATTAAACCACTTTATGGAGGAACTCAGACTAAGTAAGATCCGATTTCTAGTTGTGGCGACGCATGCCACATGTCAACGGATGACGTCACAAGAATCCTACATCGCACATGCAAAGTTTACAAACGAATAAACACAGATAGAAAACCCCAACGAACAACTGTTGGGCAGAAAGCCCGCCAGGCACGATCACCTCGCCTGGTCGGAGGATCCTCCTTTTCCGATCTTAGGGAACTATACACTCTGTTCCCTAAAGTGGTGACCCCGACGTGATTGGAAACAACCTTCACTTCACGGAGCAGATTGACACCGTCATCCGTATCGCCATCCCTCTCATTCATCACTTCTCCGCTGAGCGGTAACCAAGTCGCAGCCAACCAGCATCCTCGGCCTCATCAGGGACCACCATTACCTGCAACGAAGTTGTGCAGCCTGGTTCTTCCCTACGGCCTCACCAGCGTCTAGGCACAGCACTTCTGCACACGGTTCTGAAGGACATCTCCTCCCGTCAACGCAGACGCCGGCCACTACGCACCTACCCTCGCAGCATCTCTTCCCCGACTCACCGTGGGACACTGCGAACTCATCTCTCCGACTCACTGGAGTTTCACCCTGCACCGCTGACCCGACTCACTGGGCGCTCAGCGGCACGGTTCCGACCCACTGGAACTAGGGACGTTCTACACTGGCTCTGGCGCCACTCATCTCAAGCATCGACAGCCGTCTCAGCGGGATCGACCTCCGGTCTTAGGAGGGAGTGATGTGGCGACGCATGCCACATGTCAACGGATGACGTCACAAGAATCCTACATCGCACATGCAAAGTTTACAAACGAATAAACACAGATAGAAAACCCCAACGAACAACTGTTGGGCAGAAAGCCCGCCAGGCACGATCACCTCGCCTGGTCGGAGGATCCTCCTTTTCCGATCTTAGGGAACTATACTCTCTGTTCCCTACATAGTATTGTGTCAAAAGAAAATTTACTTGAGAATATTTGTATTTGTTGCTTAACTTGGGTCTCTGAGTTATCTTGGTGTATCTTTGCTACCATTTGAAACCGGTAAAACAAATTGTGAGGTTACATAGAAACATCTTCAAATGCTTATTATTGAAATCAGATACAATTCACATTCCAAAGCATTTTTTCGAAAGACAATTCCCACATTGCGCGTGATTGAGATATCGTACCGCAAAGGTGGATTTTTTCGAAGCATCTCATTTGAAATGTTGCGAGCGTACGTTGGGCTCGTAAAGTAGTGGCGACGTAAACGTACGACTACGAATATGCGTAGGTCTGTATTGTGCGTCCGTTTCTTAGTAATTCAGTACGGTAATGAAGAGGGCAACCGGTCCACGGAACTGGTACCACGACCACGAGATCAAATCAGAATAACGTGAATGAAATACTTTTGTTACGCCTTTGAGACAGTAAATCTTTGAAAAATGTTCGTATGTGTTGCCTTTGTCATTTTGTTGTTATTCATTTGTAAAAGTATACGAGTTAGATCTTTGGATTTCCATATTCATTCACGTTTTTATAATCTAGCAACTTAACCCATAGAATCCCAAGCGGTCACCGGTGACCGCTCTCCACTACCTATATTATAGACCTTATTTCGAATGCTTAAAGACTACTTTTGTATGAACAAATTTAGGGGATGAATTTCAACGGGTTAAGTGTTTGATTTAACCCTTACAAAAAATATTTTAGCTTTGGTTTCATACATCGAACCTTAACGAACCCGAAGTTATAAACCTCCGTAATTACAAGATACCCCTGAAAACTGTGACATTTATGCACAGAACCTTATTCGTTAGGTTCTTCGGCCTGTAATACAACCACAAAGACAATAAGTATTAAAATCCCATGCACATCCTTGGTACTCATACAACAGTCAGATACATATCTTTAACGACATGCGCATACGACATCTGTACGATCGAACATTAAGTGCGCAGTTTGCATAGATTACATGCGATACATTTAAGGCAGTTTTGCACTGGAGGACAGGAATGACGTCATGACCATATATCTTTTCATACAAGTGTCATGTAGTCTTTGTACGTTTTGTATGCAACGAGCAAGCGACGGTGAACTAATGTCTCGTCGCCCGAATCATGTCTAATGTTTAATGCAACAGTTACGCGCAGAATACCAATTGATGTTGTTTTTTACTTTGTGACTTACTAAGTAAATTGTATCATCGACACTTATAAGTATTGTTAGTGTAAACGTTTGACACCTCATAATATTTGTTGTTACAATTTGTGTAATTATGAAGTGTAAATTCGCTCCGTATGACTCGGCAATTTTCTTTATTTGCGGTTTTAATTTTCATGTTGACTGTACCAGACTTATATGCATCTACTTATTGACATCATATAATGTTAAATTATTGCTTTTATATCTAAGAAAGAAAGAATCTTCAAAGCTCTTCAAGTTTTCCTTACATAAACGAAAACCTATATTTCATTCAATTACTGAAAGATCACGAACTAAAATTTAACGGTAATTCATTAATTATTAAATCAATACAGTATAGATTATACCTCAACTTAATTATATTTAATGTGTTCATTAGCTTGATATAGATGTGTGTGTGTGTGTGAATATCTGTGTGTTAAGTGCGCGCCATTTTTATTTCATTTTGAATTTTAAATTCAAATTATTTTAGCCGTTGCATGAATTGTAACTTCTGCAAATTGTTTACATTGTATCGAGTTCAAAATTTAAGCTTTTTAATGCAATTTTTCCAGTTTTTCTGTAGGATAGGTAGATAATTATGTAGTACTAATTATTATAAGAGAAGTAACTCATTAACCACAGTTTACCAAAGTGAGATTATTAGACTAGTACAAGAATTGTAAATAGCTTTAGTTTTTAATTTTAGTTTTAATGTCATTGCATTGTTTTAGAAATATAGAGAAAAGTTCGTACAAAGTATTTTAGGATTAAAGCGAATAATTTATTGAATTAATTAGAATTTTAGCACAATAAGAATTGTTGTATTTTGTTTCGTTTTGTACAATTATTTTAAGGATTTTAATTGTATTTATTTTACAAAATTGCAATAAATTTTCTGTTTTCTAAAGATGCTTATTTTATTTTGTAAAGAAACTCCCTGACTATTTATATTAACTAGTGACCAAAAGACATTTCCAAAATCCTTGGTTTGATACCTCGGAGAAACCCTCATATCCAGCAGTGAACTGCCACATACATTTGTAGTTGTAAAAAGTCTCTTATTTTTAGTACCTACTTATTTCAAAGTCAAAGTCCAAGTCAAAATTTTTTATTTCAATTAGACCAGGGCACTTTTGAACGTCAACAAAAAATATAAAGGTGAAGCTATTTGCTCCTTCCAAGGTGATCTACACCTTATCCTGTGGATAAGAACGAGCAAGAAACTCCATATTTACATGATATATAAAAATAAAAAAAACTATGTACGATTTAAAATAAACTAACACTTGGAGACATTTCAATAAAAAAAAATAAGAAAGACTATTTACAGAGAGCATCAGAAATTTTGTCCGCATCGATATCAATAGGTAAAGAAAAATACCCAGATGGCTAATAAACGTTATTAATTATTTTTGTCAGTTATTTTCACTATAGGGCTGGTATCATCAATTCGCGATTAAAGCTTTTTTGTAATAAAGATTAAAAAGAAAAAAAGGGTTCATAAATAGTTTATCAAAGTCAGACAATGAATTTTCATCCATATCAATATCAAAGGATAAAAACATAGGCACTAAGCAAACTATTCTGCACTTGACCACCATTGGTGCAACGGTGCAATTTGTTTATGGAATAGGAGGCAAACGAGCGGACGGATCACTTGAGGGTAAGCGATCAGCGCCGCCCATGGACACCCATGCAATACCAGAGGAGGCACACGTGCGTTGCCGGTCCTTTAAAAAGGAATACGCTCTTTTCTTGGAGGTTTGAAGGTTGTATCGGTTGACAAATACCGGCAACGATAGATCATTCCACAGTTTTGCTGTGCAAGGCAGAAAACTTTGAGAAAAGCGCACAGTTGTGGCTTGCCAATAATCTACATGATGGGGATAGAACTGCTGTCATATGGGTCGATGGCGAAAAGACGTAGCAGTTATCTGAGTGCCAAGCATGAATGACTATCGCATTCGTAACGTAAAAGTATCAAGCGCGTTCGGCGCTCTGATTGGCTGGCTCCAGTGAACCAACCAATCAGAGTGACGAACGTACTCGATACTATAACTTTACGAATGCGATAGTTATTCGTGCTTGGCACTCAGACTAAAGAATTCCTTAGAGCACTCCGTAGTTTAAGCGATATAAGCACTACGAAGCTACAAGTCTACACACTGCCAAAGGGAAATACAATCTAAATAAAAAAATGAACAAAACTACGTTAATCCTCATATTGCGTAAATACTTACACAAACCGCGCTTATGGCGATACGCTCTCAACCCTATGAAGTACTTAGGGTCATAAATAACATAATTGACCAAAAGCGGAAATACTTTTTATACAATGTGTTGTTATAACATCCCCTTTCTCAATCTGAAAAACACAAACGTGACTATTCATCAAAAACACACCA